AAAATAAGTTGGTCTTCAAAAGTATTTTGACATATTCTTTTGGTTAATTTTTGCAAGATTCATCTACCTTTTGGAATTTATCATTCGAGACTTGAATTCGCAGTTTATCCAGACAATTTCGTATTTTATCAGAAAAACACTAGAAACTGTAAACACTTGCTAGTTGGCAGCAACATTGTCTGTAAAGTTCTCAGAAACCAGTTTTTTAAGCAGATCAGTTCAATTCTTTATTCCTCATCAGTTTTCCGCTAATTTGTAATCGGCATCATTCTAATCTTTTGGAATATGATACTATTTATTTTTATAAACAACAGGTAAATATTCTGTATTAGGAATGATATCTTTGAAATTTAAATATTTTCGTTTCATCTTGTTTAACTAAACTTCTTTCAAATTGTAACATTTCCTGACAATTAGAGTTTTTGTTTCTTTTTTTATTTTTTATTTGCAACCTGCTTTTGATCTTGCATTTCAGAATTTCCTGTTCAGACATGTTTGACCTTGAGATCATCTTTTTCAAGAAGTTACTCAATTTCATGCTCCCTTCCCAAATTCTTGAGATATTTTGAAGTCGCACTATTTATAATTTATTACATTTTTGATTATTGCTGGATTTTAGTTCTCCTAATAATTCCTCGTCATACGGATCGTAGGCTGACATCTTATGTACAAAGTTGCATTTTTATTTAATATCCATAACTTAATGACTCAGCTAAACTGCTATTAATTTTAAAAAATGGCTTATTTACAAGGGGGTGATCCTGATAAGTTCAAGCAATTTTGTTTTTCAAAAAAGTTCATAGAAAGGAAAAAATATAGGTTGTGGTTTACAATAACAATCAGTAAGACTATTTTTAATTATAACACTTAAAATACAATGATATTTTACATATTATTTTCAATTCAGAAAATATTTCCATTCTCAAATATACAGTTACAAAAAAGTTAGCTTTTTAAAATAATATATCTTAAATATGTTTAGTGATCTGACAACCAATGCAATCCAAATAAATTTTTTCTTAAATTTGAAGCATAAACACGTGCTTTTAAGCCTGACAATGTACAGAAAAAAGTTAAAATCTGGAAAAAATGTGTTTTAAAGTATGAATTTTTTTAAAAAATGCCTATAAAATATCGTTCATAGTAAAGTAATTAGACATATTTTTTGAAAAAAAGAAAGTTTTATAATAAGATTTAAAAAAAATCTAATTACATATTAAAATTAATTACTGAAGTTAACATAAATATTTACAGACAATATTAATAAATATTAAGACTGAATATTCATCAGAAATTGAAATTATTAACAGCTCCGTAAATTCAATTTTTAATAAATGAACTTATTTATAAATGCTTGAAATTCATTCATGACACTTTGTTTCTTTTAATTGATATTTTAGTAATAATAAGAAAACGCTGCTACATATTTTGATCCGTTAATAGAATCTAAATGCCGATTCCATAGCAGTATTTCCTTATATTTCTTATCCTAACCCACACAGGGCAAGAATAAAATTTCCCCAGAGGATATATGGATCATTATTTTACAGTTCCATAATTCTCACACTAACAGCAAAAGGTTTTTTTATTAAACTATCTCCATCGAAGACAGTGGTAAATGTAGCTAGCTATTTAACTTCGTAAATGCCCTAGTCTCCTTTGTTGAGTTCATAATAACTGACATAGAATATGTCACGTTTTATATTTATAGCAATTTACTTCTCTTCAGTTTGCAAAAAATCACAGTTGCGGCTGATATACAGAAAGCGACAAAACATTTTCTGCCGTACCTTGTACAAATTGCTTTGCATCGGTGAGGAAATTTTTCTGCGAAGACGAGAAATTTTAAATATTCAATAGGTAAAAAGTATTGAATATATTCAATATTCAATAGGTGAAATTGTAGGACGGATTTATCACAAAGCGTAAATTTAAAGGTTGGACTTTTAATTTGATTAAGGCCCACTACAAATACAATTAAAAAATTCTTCTAAAAATGATTCAAAACTTTTATGACTTCCATAACTAATTAGGGCAATGTGTATTTTAATCATCGTACTGTTTTTTTATCCTTTTATTTATTTTTAAACCTTAATTTTTAGACAGAAAGAAATAAAAATGTAATTAAAAATTTTTAATGCATTTAATGCATTTTTTTAATGTGATGAAAGCTTTGCTCACATAAAAATCGNTAATGCATTTAATGCATTTTTTTAATATTCTGAAAACTTTGCACACATAAAAATCGAAACAAAAATTTGAAAATCTTTAGTAAATGATTCTTTCAGTTAAAAAATTTCAATAGAAATAGTTCAAAATTTCACTTAAGTTCAGCTCAACAAATTGAAGTTACATAGTTATTTTAATAGACTTTACACTTGAAGGGATTTGATAATTCTTTGACGGGCTTCAAGTCGTTAGAACGATAGTTGCAACGAGAGGTAGCTTCGCCCTGTTTCATAAAGAATTTTATTGATTTCATAGTAAATATTTAAGACAAGAAAATAACAGGTTCAACTTTGTAAAAACGTCCTTTAAATATCAACTTATGATGCTGCCGATTATAGTTAAATATTGAGTCGAAGCTCCGAATAGAAATATTCACGAGTCTTTGGTTTGATTCAATGTTTTTGAGGATTCTATTAATTGATTCGAATCTATTACTTTAAAGATACTCAAAAATTGAAAAAATTTTTGTTTCTTTCGAATGATTTCAATTCATTCTTGCAAACTACTCTGTATTTAAAATTTAATTCGTGAAAATATAACTTTTTACTGGAGGTTTTCAACAATTCCGAAATTAAAATATAATATCACTCACTCAAGGTAAATAAAAGTAATGCATGAAAAAGTATTAAGCACTGATGCAAAGATTTAATTTTCTTTAATTTAACAAAATGATTCGGTTAAAAAAGTTTCTAAAAAATTATTATATTTTACAAATAGCCTATAATTAAACAAAAAAAAAGAAAGATATTGAAAAATAGAAACTTTAAATGTAACGAATGAAATTGATGTAATTAGAAAAAATTGTCTTTGTTTATAGATAAATAAAATGATGAAAACAATTTTTCAATAAATAGAACACTAAAAACAAAAAAGCATACATAATAATAATTTGTTAACTTTTCTAGATAAATAGTACAAAAAATTTTAAGTACATATTATCCAAAACATAAAACATACTCTATCAGTCAACGTTATTTTGCATCGTTAACAACTTTCATGGGATTGCTCTGATCTNTTTTTTTTATTTTAATTTATTTTTTTTTTTTTTTTCTTTTTTTATATTTTAATATTATATTTTTTCTCCTTTTTTTTCCCTTTTTTTATATTTTTTTCTGCATCTTTTTTTTTATATATTTTTTATATTTTTTTTTCTGCATCTTTTTTTATATATATATTTTTTAAATTTTTTTTATATTTCTTTATTTTATATTTTTTTAAATATTTCTTACTTTTCATATTTTTCCATAATTTTTTTTTTTTTTTTTTTTTTTTAACTTTAAAGATACTCAAAAATTTAAAAAAAATTTGTTTTCTTCGAATGATTTAAATTTATTCTTACAAACTCTACTCTGTATTTAAAATTTAATTCGTAAAAATATAACTTTTTACTGGAGGTTTTCAACAATTCCGAAATTAAAATATAATATCACTCACTCATGTTAAAAGTAATGCATGAAAAAGTATGAAGCACTGATGCAAAGATTTAACTTTCTTTAATTTAACAAAATGATTCAGTTAAAAAAGTTTTTAAAAAATTATTATATTTTACAAATAGCCTATAATTAAACAAAAAAAAAGAAAGATATTGAAAAATAGAAACTTTAAATGTAACGAATGACATTAATGTAATTAGAAAAAATTGCCTATGTTTATAGATAAATAAAATGATGAGAACAATTTTTCAATAAATAGAACACTAAAAACAAAAAAGCATACATAATACTAATTTGTTAACTTTTCTAGATAAATAGTACAAACAATTTTAAGTACATATTATTCAAAACATAAAGCATACATTTGCACAGAAATATTATACAAAATACTATTACCACAGTTTGCTTTCTTTAATTTTTTTTTANTTTTTTTTTTTTTTTTTTTTTTTTTTTTTTTTTTTTTTTTTTTTCATATTTTTAATATTATATTTTTTCTTTTTTCTACTTTTTTTTTCTTTTTTTATATTTTTTTTTCTTTCTTCTTTTTTTTTCTTTTTTATATTTTTTTCTTTTCTCTGTATTTTCTTTTTTTTTATGTATTTTTTAAATTTTTCTATATTTTTTTACTTTATATCTTTATAAATATTTTTTTTTTAATATTTCTTACTTTCTATATTTTTTAATGTCTTTTTTTTTTTTTTTTTTTTTTTTTAAGCAAACTGTTAGATTGTTTACATAATACATAGGTTCAAAAGATTACAATCAAGTAAGCATTGGATTTGCAAGTGTTTCATGGAGGCTTAAATTAGTTGGATGTATGTTATATATACATATGAATTGGATTTTTTAAGTAATTGGTTAATAGATCACTTTAAAAAAAAATTGTGTGTATTTCAAAGGGAAAAAAATTTAAACTTAAAAATAAGAACTATTCTTTACAATAGCTAACAAAAATGAATTAGCACTATAAATAAATGAATTAAATAAGTATATAAACATGAATAAACAAATGAATTAAATCAAATAACTTTTAAAAGCCCAAGAAAATCCATTCTAANAATCACATTTAAAGAAATAAAAAAAAAATAAAAATTTGGAATAAAAAGTTTTATACCCCATCTTTTTAATTTGCTACGATGGGGAGAAATGGATTTTCTTGATGGCAAGAATTAACTATAAATAAATTAATTAAACAAATATAAAATCTTTCAAAACACTGCAGAAAATCCATCTAGTCCGAAAAAACTTTTTTTTAAAAATTCACATTTAATGAAATAAAAAAATAATAATTTGGAAAATAAAAAACTTTATACCCCATCTTTTTTTTTGTTGCGATGAGGACAAATGGATTTTCTTTTGTTTAAATTGATTAAAACTATAAAACATTTAAGATATATAATGATCTAACTGGCTGCAGATTTTAAACTAAGACTAAATGAAAAAATTGAGCTATACATTTCTTAAAATGTTTATCTATCAACATAATTCATTTTTAAAAATACAGTTATTTTGCAGCAAAAAGAATAATGTTTATATATTACTGATCAAAATGACAAATGTCACTTTACATGCATACTACAGATGAAGTATGCATGTAAATTAACAATGAACGATAAATTACTTTTAGAACAAGCCTCCATAAAAACAGCAAAGCAAGTTTAACAAAGTTTTCATCTTACTTACATAAAAACGATTCAATAAAAATTCGCAAATAATCACAAGCTTTTAAAACAAATAGGAACGTAATAAATAAACTAAAACATCTTTCTTCGGTAAGTTTGTTTATTTCTAATCACCCCCATTTCCTTGTTTCTGTTATTCGACATTCTACACTATTATTTAGTCAGAAGTTTATAGATTGCCACTATTGTTTATAGAGAAGAAAAACTAAAGTTATATGTTAGTCGTGTCAGACAATTTATCAGACAATCGAAAGGTTTGTTGCACATTTTGTGCACAGTTTCAGTATTAGTTATTTTTCAGAGGAAAATTCAATTCTTAACAGTTATTTTCTCTACGGAATTGTTAAGCAGTTGTCCATATACTTGTTGGTATGGTGTAATGTATGCATCAGAACTGAGTGTCATTTTACAGTTGGGATACATCAAATTTAAATGAAGAAATAGTCCAGTTACTAAGCAGATATGTGATCTGGTTTCCCATTAGTCCACCTTTTTCATATGCTTCCTAGTTTTCACAACAAGTTGATTCGTCTTCTTTTTCTTGGGCACTACAGCCTATGGCAGGCCAAGGCTGTCCCAATAAGTTTTGCCGTCTTAATATATTCTGTGCCATGGTCTTCCAGTTAGTTATTCCTTTTATCTTTAGGTCCCTCTCAACTGCGTCCAGCCACCTAGTCGGTGGACGACCCCTTTTTCTTGTACCTTCTGGTTTAAAAAAAAGTTTCTTTTCTAAACCAGGTTTAAAAAAAAGGTTGGTAAATATGGTTAGAAATGTTTTTTTTAACTTTTTTGCCGGGTTTTGGTCTTTAGATCTATAAAGGTGTCCCAGACATCGAATACGATTGGCCTGAATAACATGAACTATGCCTGTTTTATATAACTCATGATTGTAAAGGGTGCACCATTTGTTATTCTCATAGACTGCACCAAATATTCTTCTTAGTATCCCTCTCTCAAATATCAGCAATTTGTTCTCTTTTTTATTAAGAGTCCAGCACTCACTACCATATAGGATCGCAGGCCATAAGAGTGTTTTGTATATGTTAATTTTTGTCTTTTAAGAAATTCACTTTTTAGTTGGCGTTTTAAACCAAAGTAGCACTTGTTTTCCATTGCTAAACGGCTATTGATTTCAGTATTTGTGACATTTTTGCAGGTAACAGTAGTCCCAAAATATTTAAATTCATCAACAGTTTCAAAGTCATAATCATTCACATGAAAGGGCATTCATTGCCTTAGCGAGCCCTCTGTTTATCTCCTCCACTATAACTTTTACAATCCATCAAATCTCCCTTTTTGTAGATTAAGCAGATAAAACCATCATCCCATTCAATGGGCATCTGTTCCATGCTGGAATGCTGGAAATAGGTGTTATCTCGGCATTAAGCACGAAGCGCTTCTAACCGATTCATCGAATCTAGTAAGTCCTAAATTATAATGTCCTAAGTTCACAAGATATTTGTAAGATATCTACACAATATAAGTTCATTGCAGATGTTGGACCTGCGTTGCACTGAAGAAAATCATCATTGGGATGGGGTATTCCCCTGAAGAAGTGTCTGAAGAAGGCTGAGTGCCTCCTAATTTTTCAAAAGTTCTCGTAACTCTTTCATTAGTGTAATCAAACGATGAGCTGAGGTAGCTGTAGTTGAAACTTTGTTGTTGAATCTTTTTCTCCTGGGGCCTGACCTCGCACCCAGAGAAGTTCGAGGTATGATCCTTACTGCAATTGCAGCAGGTAGGCGGTTTGTTCTTGCTTTTTTTTGCACTGGAATGAGTAGTGCCCTTCGGCACACTTCATACATCTTGGATCGGAAGTGCAGGCACGCTGAGAGTGTCCGTAGCCTTCACATCTAAAACCCTGTATCGGCCACCGGCCGCCATGAAATTTCTCTACACAAATCGGAAAGTCCTTAATGAATTCGATATGGTAGATCTTCATGTAGTTCTCATCTCTGTTATGATGAGGAGGAACAGTGGGAGTGGCCTATAGGCCCCGCCCACTTCCTTTTTTAACTGAACAACTTTCAGTATTTCTAAATTCTGTTTCCCTAATTCAAGGGAAATATTGTCCGTACTCTTAGGTTCTTGGGTGGTTGAGCTTTATGAACATTTGTGGATGGCTCTGGGACTTTTTCTGTGCTCTCCTCCGGAGTTTCCATCGGGACTGGAGTCGGTTTCACTGGCGAAATTGGAGGGTCAGAAGAACAGTTAGTATGCTTTGTTGAGTCTACATTAGTTGAGTTCTTCTTATTATTCCTCTTTCTCTTTCTGATAGGTGGTTCCTTAGGATTTTTTGTCTGGGGTTTTGTCTCAGAGGCCGAAGGCTCCTCACTAGGTTCCAAGTATTGGTCAGGTTCAGTAGCATTGGTTGTGACCAATTTCTCAGTTGTTTGAGCTATGGGATGTGGAGCGGGAACTGGGTCTTCTTTCTTTGCTAATTCCATCTCCTCCCGTTTCTGCCTGCTTAATCTGTACATGATGTAGTGGGCAATTTCACTCCTTTGAGTGATGTAACGTCGATGAGATCCATCAAAAGTAGGATACTTTCTGTAGAACTATCGGAAAGAGTCATCAATTTTGTACAGTTCCTCTAGGGGAAACTGTAGGTAGAAGGCTTCAATTTCAGACTTCTCCAAGTTTCCGGGTGAATTATATTGCGGGGGAATCCCGCAGTTAGCAAGTATATCATCTAACGATGACTCATCAAATGGCAGTACTTGAGAGCGGCAGGAAGGGAAAACCTTTCCGCCGCATGCTGTTCTGTGATACGGCATTGGTCGATCAGAGAAAAAATACGTCCTCACTAGTCAAAGGCTTGAGTCGATCTCCCTGTCGGCATCTGTTACAATTTCCATATACTGCATATATCTTGGATTGCCCTGATCAATGCTGGTTCCTTAATTACTGGCAAAGTAGATTATTTACTAATCCATTTATATCTTCGCAACTATTATAATCTCATATCTTCTTAACTGACTCTTACTTGTATTATTTTTACAAACAGGCCAGACCATCTCAAAGTGTAAGTTCAATTGCCAAAACATAAATCAAAATGTCGTCAATCAGTGAAGAGTAGTACAACACTGTTCCAAATTGGTTATGTGCAGATTAAAGCAAATCCCCCTATAATTTTTACAATCCATCAAAGCAGATAAAACTGCTTTGGCAGATAAAACCAGGCAGATAAATCCAGGCAGATAAAACCATCATCCCATTCAATGGTCATCTGTTCCATGGTGGAAATAGGTGCTATCTCGGCATTCAGCGCGAAGCGCTTCGAACCGATTCATCGAATCTAGTAAGTCCTAAATTATAGTGTCATAAGTTCACAAGATATTTGTAAGATATCTACACAATATAAGTCCATTGTAGATGTTGGGCCTGCGTTGCACTGAAGAAAATCATCATTGGGATGGGGGTATTCCCCTGAAGAAGTGTCTGAAGAAGGCTGAGTGCCTCCTGATTTTTCAAAAGTTCTTGTAACTCTTTCATTAGTGTAACCAAACGATGAGCTGAGGTAGCTGTAGTTGAAGCTTTGTTGTTGAATCTTTTTCTCCTGGGGCCTGACCTCGCACCCAGAGAAGTTCGAGGTATGATCCTTACTGCAATTGCAGCAGGTAGCTGGTGTGTCCTTGTTTGTTTGTTGTTTTTTTTTGCACTGAAATCCCTCCGGCACACTTTATACATCTTGGATCGAAAGTGCAGGTACGCTGAGAATGTCCGAAGCCTTGACATCTAAAGCACTGTATCTGCCCCCGTCCACCACGAAATTTCTTGACACAAATCGGAAAGTCCTTAATGAATTCGTTATGGTAGATCTTCATGTAGTTCTCGATCTCTGGTATGATGATGAGGAACAGTGGGAGTGGCCTATAGGCCCCACCCACTTTCTTTTTGAACTGAACAACTTTCAGTATTTCTAAATTCTGTTTCCCTAATTCAAGGGAAATATTGTCCGTACTAAAGTCCGTACAAAGGAAGCCCTCGGATGAGAACTTTTAGGTTCTTGGGAGGTTGAGCTTTATGAACATTTGTGGATGGCTCTGGGACTTTTTCTGTGCTCTCCTCCGGAGTTTCCATCGGGACTGGAGTCGGTTTCACTGGCGAAGTTAGAGGGTCAGAAGAACAGTTAGTATGCTTTGTTGAGTCTACATTAGTTGAGTTCTTATTATTATTCCTCTTTCTCTTTCTGATAGGTGGTTCCTTAGGATTTTCTGTCTGGGGTTTTGTCTCAGAGGCCGAAGGCTCCTCACTAGGTTCCAAGTATTGGTCAGGTTCAGTAGCATTGGTTGTGACCAATTTCTCAGTTGTTTGAGCTATGGGAATTGGGTCTTCTTTCTTTGCTAATTCCATCTCCTCCTGTTTCTGCCTGCTTAATCTGTACATGATGTAGTGGGCAATTTCACTCCTTTGAGTGATGTAACGTTGATGAGATCTATCAAAAGTAGGATACTTTCTGTAGAAATATCGGAAAGAGTCATCAATTTTGTACAGTTCCTCTAAGGGAAACTGTAGATAGAAGGCTTCAATTTCAGACTTCTCTAAGTTTCCGGGTGAATTATATTGCGGGGGAATCCGGCAGTTAGCAAGTATATCATCTAACGATGACTCATCAAATGGCAGTACTTGAGAGCGGCCGGAAGGGAAAACCTTTCCGCAGTGCGCTGTTCTGTGATACGGCATTGGTCGATCAGAGAAAAAACACGTCCTCACTAGTCAAAGGCTTGAGTCGATCTCTCTGTCGGCATCTGTACCAATTCCCATACCCTGCATGTATCTTGGATTGCCCTGATCAATGCTGGTTCCTTAATTACTGGCAATGTCGAGTATTTTCTAATTCATTCATATCTTCGCAACTATTATAATCTCATATCTTCTTAACTGACTCATACTTGTATTATTTTTACAGACAGGCCAGACCATCTCAAAGTGTTCAATAGCCAAAACATAAATCAAAATGTCGTCAATCAGTGAAGAGTAGTACAACACTCTTCCAAATTGGTTATGTGCAGATTAAAGCAACATCAACACTTTAGATACTCTCCTCCTCTTTTATATAAAATTAATGCCAATCCACTATCTTTAAAAGATAAAAAGGAATTTTCCTACCATTTTCGCTGATTTTTTTTTTTTTTTAAATCCATGTGTAACAAAAATTTGAGCTCTGGTAAATATCGCTTAAAGAATCATTTTACCATACAAGCTTCTGAAACTTCAAATAATCAGTTACTTCATTTTGTTTCATTTAACCTGTATTTACTAATAATTTCGCTTTCAATTTTTTTTTTTGTTTTNTTGTTTTTTTTTTGGGAGTTAGTTACAGGCACATATGTTTGGAATAGCTTGACATTTGAGATTGAAGTTTCAATTTTCAGGGCAAATTCTGTGCGAATGTTGTATTTTTTTCTTCAAAAGTAAGTTGGTCAACAATTTTTTGACATTGTAGCAAATTTTTGATCACTATCATTAGAGCCTTGAAACTGAAGCTTGTCTCATCATTTTTGTTTTTTATGAGCCAAAATGCGTAAATTTGAACTGATTACTAAAAAATGGTTCCTTAAATCCTAGTGAACTGATCGTTTAAGCTAATCAGTTAAACTTCTTAGAAATAAGATTTTTGATAGTATTCAAAACGTCGTCTGCAATTATTTTTTTTATTCACAGCACACCAAAGGATGCTCAAAAACTTTCTCAAGTTGTTTACGTGCACAAAAATCATTTAGCAAATATCTTTGTTGTTTTGTGGAATCAAATTCGTCAACTTCTTCATGCATAACTGAAATTTGGGTTCGTCTAGTTTGTTTGGAGTCGACTAGTTTGTTTAAAAGTAGAGTTTTTTTTATTATTTTTTTTTAAGAAATTTTTTACCTCTCAGCCTTTTCTATCTTCTGATTATCAATTACTTCATTTTGTTTCCTTCAAATTTAAACTGAAAATGCTAATGTCTCAGTTGTCAAAACTTATTTTGGAAATTGTTTTCTGCCTTATAAACTCTTTTAAAATTACTTATCATCAATAGGGAAATTCCCAGTACTTTTTAGGGCATATTCTGTAAAAACGTTGTATTTTCAACTCATCAAAAATAAGTTGGTCTTCAAAAATATTTTGGCATATTCTTTTGGTTAATTTTTGTAGGATTCATCTACCTTTTTGAATTTATCATTCAACTTTGCATTTTATCAGAAAAACACAAGAAACTGTAAACATTTGCTAGTAGGCAGCAACATTGTCTGTAAAGTTCTCGGAAACCAGTTTTTTAAGCATATCAGTTCAATTCTTTATTTTTCATCAGTTTTCAGCTAATTTGTAATCGGCATCATCCTAATCTTTCGGAATATGATAGTATTTATTCTTATAAATAACAGGTAAATATTCTGTATTAGGAATGATATCTTTGAAACTTAAATATTTTCGTTTAATTAAACTTCTTTCAAATTGTAACGTTTCCTGACAATTAGAATTTTTTTTTTTGCAACCTGCTTTTGTTCTTGCATTTCAGAATTTCCTGTTCAGACATTTTTGACCTGGAGATCATCTTTTTCAAGAAGTTGCTCAATTTCATGCTCCCTTCCTAAACTCTACATATTTTGATTCGAGATATTTTGAAGTCACACTATTCATAATTTATTACATTTTTGATTATCACACTCATTGCTGTATTTTAGTTCTAATAATTCCTCGTCATACGGATCGTTGGTTGACATCCTCTGTACAAAGTTACATTTTTATTTAATATCCATAACTCAATGGCCCAGCTAAACTGCTATTAGTTTTAAAAAATGCCATATTTGCTGGTGATCCTGAAGTTCATACAATTTTGTTTTTCACAAAAGTTTATAGAAAAGAAAAAATATAGATTGTGGTTTATAATAAAAATCAGTGAGACTATTTTTAACTATAACATTTAAAATACAATAATATTTTTATATTATTTTCAATTCAGAAAATATTTCCATTCTCAAATATACAGTTACAAAAAAGTTAGCTTTTTAAAATAATATATCTTAAAAAATATGTTTAGTGATCTGACAACCAATGCAATCAAATAAATTTTTTCTTGAATTTCAAGCATAAACACGTGCTTTTAAGCCTGACAATGTACAGAAAAAAGTTTTAAAATCTAGAAAAAAAGTGTTTTAAAGTTTGAATTTTTTTAAATAATGCTTATAAAATATCGTTCGTGGTAAAGTAATTTACATATTTTCTTAAAAAAAGCAAGTTTAATAAGATTAAAAAAAATCTAATTATATATTAAAATTAATTACTGAAGTTAACATAAATATTCACAGACAATTATTTACCAATAAAACTCCTCAAATAACAGTAAACTTGACGAATATAACAGCACATGACTAGTTTGCAATTAAACAATCAGAAAAATAATTTGTTGATATGAAAATCCCTGTATTCTGACTAAAAAGTTTCAGAGTTAATAATAAGGTTTCTTAACAACTATGCGCAAGTTGCATTTTTGTAACATTTTTTTAAGCATTGTATGGTTTTATTTTACTTATATTGAATATATCCTTTGTCATTAAAATCATAAAAAAGGTAGGCATGAAAAGTGGAAATGATACGTTAATAAACATCTTATGTACAAAGTTGCATTTTTATATAATATCCATAACTTAATGACCCAGCTAAACTGCTATTAATTTTAAAAAATGGCATATTTACAAGGGGGTGACCCTGATAGTTCAAACAATTTTGTTTTTCAAAAAGGTTCATAGAAAGGAAAAAATATAGTTTGTGGTTTACAATAATAATCAGTAAGACTATTTTTACTTATAACATTTAAAATACAATGATTTTTTACATATTATTTTTCAATTCAGAAAATATTTCCATTCTCAAATATACAGTCACAAAAAAGTTAGCTTTTTAAAATAATATATCTAAGAAAATATGCTTAGTGATCGGACAACCAATGTAACCAAATAAATTTTTCTTAAATTTGAAGCATTAAGACGTGCTTTTAAGCCTGACAATGTACAGAAAAAAGTTAAAATCTGGAAAAAATTTGTTTTAAAGTTTGAATTTTCTTAAAAAATGCTTATAAAATATAGTTCGTGGTAAAGTAATTAACATATTTTTTGAAAAAAAGAAAGTTTTTTAATAAGATTAAAAAAATCTAATTATATATTAAAATTAATTACTGAAGTTAACATAAATATTTACAGACAATTATTTACTAATAAAACTCTTCAAATAACAGTAAACTTGACGAATATAACAGTGCATGACTAGTTTGCAATTAATCAATCTGAAAAATAATTTGTTGATATAAAAATCCTTGTTTTCTGACTAAAAGGTTTTAGAGTTAATAATAGGACTTCTTCACGGCTATGCGCAAGTTGCATTTTTGTAATATTTTTTTAACCGTTGTATGGTTTTATTTTACTTATATTGAATACATCCTTTGTCATTAAAATCATAAAAAAGGTATGCATGAAAAGTGGAAATGATACGTTAATAAATAAAAGTAAAGTATAAAGATTAGTTTCAGGTTACTTTTTTTTTTCTTTCGCTAATTTTTTGTGCATTAACCAATAGACGCACATATAACTGACATAATTTGTAAACATTTTAGATAAACGATTTAAGTTCATATATACACATTTTAAAACTGATATTTCTTATTCATCAGAAATTGAAATTATTAACAGCTCCGTAAATTCAATTTTTAATAAATGAACTTATTTATATATGCTTGAAATTCAATGATGACACTTTGCTTCTTTTAATTGATATTTTAGTAGTAATAAGAAAACGCTGCTACATATTTCGATCCGTTAATAGAATCTAAATGCCGGTTCCATAGGAGTATTTCATTATATTTCTTATCCTAACCAACACAGGGCAGGAATAAAATTTCCCCAGAGGATCATTATTTTACAGTTCCATAATTTTTTTTTTTTTTAAAACTATCTCCATCGAAGACACTGGTAAGTGTAGCTAGCTATTTAACTTCGTAAATGCCCTAGTCTCCTTTGTTGAGTTCATAATAACTGACATAGAATATGTCAAGTTTTTTATTTATAGCAATTTACAGCTCTTCAGTTTGCAAAAAATCATTAATCACAGTTGCGGCTGATATACAGAAAGCGACAAAACATTTTCTGCCATACCTTGTACAAATTGCTTTGCATCGGTGAAGAAATTTTTCTGCGAAGACAGAAATTTTAAATATTCAATAGGTAAACCATTGAATACTAAGCATTGAATATATTCAATATTCAATAGGTAAAATTGTAGGGCGGATTTATCACAAAGCGTAAAGTTAAAGGTTGAACTTTTAATTTGATTAAAGCCCACTACAAATATAATTAAAAAATTCTTCTAAAAATGATTCAAAACTTTCATGACTTCCATAACTAATTAGGGCTAAAAAATCAATGTGTATTTTAATCATCGTACTGTTTTGGTTTTTAACCTTTTATTTATTTTTAAACCTTAATTTTTAGACAGAAGGAAACAAAAATGTAATTAAAAAATTTTAATGCATTTAATGCATTTTTTTAATATTATGAAAACTTTGCACACATAAAAATCGAAACAAAAATTTGAAAATCTTTAGTAAATGATTCTTTCAGTTAAAAAATTTCAATAGAAATAGTTCAAAATTTCACTTAAGTTTAGCTCAACAAGTTGAAGTTACATAGTTACTTGAAGGGATTTGATAATTCTTTGACGGGCTTCAAGTCGTTAGAACGATAGTTGCAACGAGAGATAGCTTCGCCCTGTTTCATAAAGAATTTTATTGATTTCATAGTAAATATTTAAGACAAGAAAATAACAGGTTCAACTTTGTAAAAACGTCCTTTAAATATCAACTTATGATGCTGTCGATTATAGTTAAATATTGAGTCGAAGCTCCGAATAGAAATATTCACGAGTCTTTGGTTTGATTCAATGTTTTTGAAGATTCTATTAATTGATTCGAATCTATTACTTTAAAGATACTCAAAAATTGAAAAATTTTTTGTTTCTTTCGAATGATTTAAATTCATTCTTACAAGCTACTCTGTATTTAAAATTTAATTCGTGAAAATATAACTTTTTACTGGAGGTTTTCAACAATTCCGAAATTAAAATATAATATCAGTCACTCAAGTTATTAAAAAGTAATGCATGAAAAAGTATTAAGCACTGATGCAAAGATTTAATTTTCTTTAATTTAACAAAATGATTCAGTTAAAAAAGTTTCTAAAAAATTATTATATTTTACAAATAGCCTATAATTAAACAAAAAAAAAATGAAAGATATTGAAAAATAGAAACTTTAAA